CGCCGGCGATCCCGCCCCCTGTCTAGCCTCGCGATTGCGCCCGGCGCCCCGGCCGGGAACCTGCTCCCCCGTGTCCCCACAGCAGCCCGGGAGGGGGTGGTGGGCGCTCTGGACCGTGGACAGGAACGGCGACGGCTCGCAGGGCTCACGCTGCGCGCCAGGCCCCGTGTAAGGCGTGACAACCCGCCTCTCGGTTAATCTTCACACCAGCTCTGAGGCGTCTTTGCTCCCCTCTCTCTCTGATAAGGGACCTGGTGGAACACCCTCAGCCCCCGGTCTCAGGCAGCCCTTCTCATGCCCCTTCCCCAGGGTCCTGCTGAGGAAACAGCTCTCTTGCCCTCGCTCCGGAAGGGTCTCCCGCCCCAGGACTTGCCCTTGATGTCTCTTCTGCCCGGCAGCAGGTCCTCCCAGGGCTGGCTAGCACTCATGGAAAGTTCAAGCTGTTGATCGCCTGTCTCCCTGCTAGAATGTAAGCTGCTCCCAGCCTGGGACCTTGTCTGTCTTGCGCCGGGCTGCGTCCCCAGTGGTCAGTCGGCCCACACAGCCCGAGTGCTGGGAATGTGCTCGAAGTGGATGAGAGTGAGCACCTGCCCGCCTGCGACTTGGAAAGGGGCTGTGTCCTTTAGCCCAACGCCTGGCTACACAAAGTGAGGCGAACCCAAAAGAAGCTGTGGAAAAACAGCCCTGCCTGAAACCCCCAAGTCCGCTGGGCTGTGAGGCCAGGAGGCCTTTCTCTGGGAGATGGAGAAGGTCAGGCTTTGGGTCTTTGGGAGGCCAGGGATAGTGGTTGCTATGGAGACTGATGGTGGCGCCTTGTACATCTGGGGGCTGAGAAGAGATGGGTGATGCAGGGGCCACCCAGGCAGCTCAGGGCTTCCAGCTCCCCTGATCTTCATCGCTAGCCTGTAGCTGGGATGGGGTGCGGGATTTCCTCCCCAAGATCCTCAAGAGACCGATTGTGGGGGTTAAACATGCGGGACCCATAGGGGTTGGCCCACGAGAAGTCGTCAATAAAGGGGCAGGGGGAGTTAGTGGGGGAAGGAAGCTGGGTCTGCAGAGCTTACTGTGATGCCTCCTAATGCCATACCCTCCTCTCACTCAACCTCACCACTCAGGGGAAACAAGTGCTGAGATGCTCACTGGGCCTCCCAGGGGTTGTCCTGGGGGAATGAAGGGGAAAGGGAAATGGGTACAGGCACATGAAAGTGGGTTGTTCCTCTGGGTATGTGACCCAGTCTGACCCAGCTCTGCCCAGGATCTTGCTGTGACCTTAGACCACCCAGGCCTCCTCTCTGGGCCTCTGAGGTCCTCGTCTGCACCTGTTGAACCAATCTCTCTTCCCTGTGACCTGGGGCAGACTGAAGGAGGGAGAGCCCAGTCCACCCTGACAAGAGCCATCCCAGTCCAGCCAGGTGGCCAGGTCCAGGCAGGGGGCCAAGGAGCAGGGAGGGGCCACCCTGGGGACCTCCATACACACGGCCACTCTTTGTCTCTGGAACCTAATCAGGCTTGGGATCTAGAAAGGAAGTTCAGGCAACCTGGAGGGAGGGAGGAGAAACTGGCTCCAGGCCCAGCCTCTCATATTCCATCCTGGGGACGCTGTCCCGTCCTCCATGCCTCTCTCTCCTTCCCAAAAGCACAGGACCACCAGCCCTGGAAGTGCTGAAAAACAAAACAAAACAAAAAACCTCACATTCCCACTCCCTACTCTCCACCGGCTGCAGAGGGAGGTCTGGAGGAGTGGCCACTGATGAGGTTTGGGGAACAAGTTCACTAAGGTGGTGGGACTGAGGGGGAGAGAAAGAACCCCACCTCGAATGCCCTAATCCCAGTTGCTAACTTGCCTCATGCCCAAGGATTCTCAGCAGGACACTGCTCTTGCTGGGCGGTCGGTAGGAGAGAGGGTACTGCCACCGCAGGCCCGAACTGTGGACCGTTTGGCCAGTGCCTTGCTGTGTCACCTGGGACACGTCCGTTGCCATCCTTGGGCTTCTAATTTCCCATTTGTGAACAGGAGTAGGGTGAAAGAGCCTGGCACCCAGGGGTGGACCGAAGTGATGTTGACGATACCTGCGGCCCCCTCCTCTGTCTCCAAGACGTTTGCCTCTCCTGAGGCCCCGGACACCTCCCTAGGTCTTCGTTCCTTGGGTGAGGAGGGAGGGCGGCTCTAATTCCCCACCTGATATAAAAGAAAACTAAGCTGGTGGAGGATGGAGGGAGGGAGTGAAAGGAAAGGTTGGGGTCTACAGGTGAGGTGTGATGCCTGAAACGCCTAGACTCTGCGGTCAGGCTAGACCAGGATTCGAATTCTGACCGAGCGTTCTCAAGCAGATCTGGAGATAACAGCCGGTGGAGCGGCTTGGGCAAAACAACGTATTAGCATTGCCCGCCTACCATACCTCGGCGGGCTCCCGCCCCAGCGGCACGAGCCCCGCCCTGCCACGCCCCCTCGCCGCAGCCAATCAGCGGCGGCCTCCAGGCCCGCCTGCCCTCTCCATGGGCCGCTGGTTGCGGCCACCCCTTCGAGGGAGGCGGCTCGCTTTGGGAAAGGATCCCGGGAGTCGCCCCGTCCCCTGGGCGCAGCTGAGGCCCTGGAGGCGTTCGCGAGGGCCGGAGAGCGCTCTGCGAGGGACCCCGAGTTGAAGAGCCAGTCTGCCCCCGAGCCTTTCTAAGATAGGGAGACCCGAGGTCCCCAGAGCCGAGGGAAGCCCCGGCCAAGGCTTTCTCCGTGCAGGTGGGGGTGCAGGTGACACAGCCCGTGCGGGAGCAGGGCCCGATGCCGAGCACTAACTGCTGGCTAGGGGATAGAGACGGCATTGGGAGGCTGGACTCCTCACTGCCTGCGCTTCCCCGGCACTGCCTCTGGTGGGGCAGCGGAGACAGGGCAACTGGCCTAGCGCGCGCCTGCTGAGACACGGGCCGCCCGTCTTAGACGCGCCACGCGCCACCCCCAAGTCGATAACGAGGCTCCTTTGGTAAAGGGCGTGTTACTTCCCAGTGCTTTTTTTTTTTTTTTGAGTTGGAGTCTCCCTCGGTCGCCCAGACTGGAGTGCAGTGGCCGCTCCCGGCCACCGCAGCCTCGACCCGCTGGGCTCCGGCGATCCTTCCGTCTCTCAGCCTTCCGAGGAGCCGGAACTACAGGCGCGCGCTACCACGCCCGGCTAATTTTTTTTTTTATTATTGTAGAGATGAGGTGTCACCAAGTTGCCCAGGCGGGTCTCGAACCTTCGGGCTCAGGCAATCCACTCACCGCAGCCTCCCAAGGATTACAGGCTGAGCCACCGAGCCCGGCTACTTCCCCGTCCTTTAAAATCCGGTAGCCCCTCCCCGTTCGAGCCTCTCGACGTTCTATTGGAAAGGCTCAGGGATCCGGCCCCCTTCTCTAGGATGAATTGCTCAGGCTGCCGCCGAGCTTTCCCGGAGCGTTAACTGCGCGGGCGCAAGGGCCGCCAACCCAGAAAACGGAAGAGCTGGGTCCCGGCGGCGTCGGGCCGTTCGGGGCGGAGAGTGCGTCAACCAATGGCCTGAAGGAGTAGGGAGGGCGGGTTCAGGCCCGCTAAGCACCGCCCGAGTGGGAGGTGATTCAGGAGATGCGGCGGGAGGTGGTTCCGCGGCTCTTCAAGTCACCCTCCTTCGCGTCCGCGGAAGTTGAGCGGCCGGGAGGCGGGCCTAGGGCCGGAAGCCGGAAGGAGGGCGCAGGAAGCCGGGCGCCGCAGCCAGCCGT